TTCCCCTCCCCCCCCCCCCCCCCCCCCCCCCCCCCCCCCTACCAGCCAATTGCACCGTCCCTCTCCCCTTTCCCCTGGATCCACCAATGACGCCGTGTGTTTGGCTTTTACAGGATGTGGTTTGCTTGAGGATATCTGCAAAGAAGTGAGTGCATGAGATGGGCAGTGAAGTGTCAACCAGTTGATGAACTGGAAGACAAATTTCCCTTACTTTTGCAACAAATTTCCCTTACTTTTCCCTTACTCTTCTGCCATAAAAATTTCCCTTACTTTTGCAATCGCGGAACTGTGCGCATCTTTGGCACTTCTTTTTTTTCAGCCAAACGGGGTCTTATGCACAAATTAGGACCAGCATATCTCTGTCCCGTTTTTTTAAATGCTCACTTGAAACCTATTGATTTGCTATAATTCATAGCCTGGTTGTTCTCCAGCCACTTTTCTAGTTGTCCTCCAACTTTTCCAGTTGCTTTGACCAATGCTATATCGCCTTATAGTGGTGGAGTTTTCGATATCCATTTAGTTCCCAGAAAGGATTAATAACCGTTAATAATCCCTTCACGTTCAGTAGCCTATGGATAAAGAAAGCGAGATCAAGTTCGGTTAACTTCCGCAATGCTCTAGGTGTCCAGGAATGGGCACTGGGCACTCACAAAGTAGATGGGACTCAGCGACAGTGCCGTATGTGCCGGATGGAGCCCGAAACACCTGTCCCAGTTGGAGCCCGAAACACCTGATCACTTAGCTTGGAGGTCTTGGTACTTTCATCAGCTTTCGAATCATTCGGCGGATAGGTACTGCAGAAATTTGCCATCGATCGGACTACTTCCATCGTTGATTCTCATAACGAGTGAACGGGAACGGGGTTTTGATTTCGACATGAGCAAACGTTAAATGTACAGAGTTTTGTTGCTTTTTCAGATTTAATGGGCGATTTTGATGAGGCATCGAAGAACGAGTCGAAAGTGGGTGAGGTGAAACATGCAGTGGAGCACGAGGAGCAGGAGAACCAGGAGATCAGCTCGAACCACGAAGCGGATGGCGACGTTGAAGCCGTGGAACATGAGAAAGTTACAGCATAAAAGCTGGAAAATACCGCCGCCTTGTGAATCCGTGCTCAGCGCATTCTTTTTCTTGAATTGCTATCGATGTTCCCCTCCCTCCCTCGCTCGTGTAATGCTCGGCCCTCATTTTTAAATGAATAATTCCCTCGCATGGATTCTTTTTTGATATTTTTATATTTTGCTAAAATTAGCTCGAGAAATTCGGCCTACGCCTGCAAAACATGGATTGTAATTTGAACGAAAATATGGCGGTGGATTTGTTTTTTGCAGAATTTTGGGGTTGTAATACGTTAGGTATATCAACAGTTGTGTTTTTAGAATAACTCTTCCACTTTTTTTTTATTGGGGTTGAGCCTCTGGAAAAGTTCGCGGACTCCAAGTGCGTCAGTGTCTCCAATGTTACATTGCTATTTTACGTGTTGTAATTGTTAATTCTAACATTGGTGCATACCACGCTGTTTTTTAACGTGGAAGTTTCACGCGGATAAACAAGCATGAATAAAATTATACTTAGCAAAAATACGAGCGCCAGCAGCCCTACTTTTGAATTTTTCAACGAAATATTAGCTTTCACACTCGATGAAAAATTTAATACATCCAAAAAAGCCACGATGCAATGTTTTTTTTCTGGTCAAAAAGGGGGTTTTTTTCGTGAAGAAGATCATAATTTTTGATATTTTCCATAAAGTCGGAAATTTTTTTTTTGGTAGGTGAGATCTTTTTTTTAGAAAAAAAATTAAAATCTTGCTTTTTTAGCAAGTGATTTTTATTTGATTTATTTTCTCGCACATGCGCTGCATGTTTTAATTTCTTCAGCTGTGTGTGTGTGTTTTCTTGAAGATCTGTTACAAAATGAAATTGATATAATGAGTTTTTTTTTTTGTCAGTTTTCTTTAGCAGGTATCGAATTTTTCGGGAAAATAATAAATTTTAGAGCAGTAGTTTCCTACATTGTTGTCGAGATTATTATAACATTTCCTGTTTTTTTTTTTCGATTGCTTTCTGTGTTTCATCGCACTTTTTACCTGAAATTATTTTTTTTGCGAAATAAATGTTAAAATGATATTGCTGGATATCTTAAATGAGATGGACGCACTGTTCCTGGAATTTTTTAGCTTGCCTGATACCGTTTTTAGTGCTGAATGGGAATTTTGTGGTGCTGAATAGGAGGGAAATACTGCTTCCTGCTCAGTTAATTTGGTGGCCAACAATGCCCCAAACTAAAGTTTCACTTGTGCGCGCGCGTGCGCAGCTGAAGCTTTAGTTTTATGGAGAACATATTTAGCACCCATCTGCAACCCAGGTATTTTCATTTGAACTTTAAAAGCTCAAATGAAAGTATTTGGGCTGCACATGGGCGTAGAATATCCTCGTAAAGTTTCTGCTTCCTAGCTTGATTGGTTGGCGGAATCATTTTTCGTTATATTATTGACGTATCGGGCACTACGCCAAAACTATGCCTGCGTGTCGCTTTTTGGGGGACAAATATTTTGCAAAATTAGGGCATCCTAAACAAGTTGTTTCCAGAGTCGACATCTTCTTAACTACATCTTGACCTCAAATTTGATGTGACCATATCTGCAGCGTAGATTAGCATGATAGATGAAATTGGAAACTTTAGCTCGCGCAAAAGCGGAGAATATATTTGTGGAGTTTCAACTTCACTTATTATACGTTTTGTGCTGTGTAACAGCAGTACAAAACGCATATTGTT